TAGAATTCTGAAAAATGGTGAGGAAACTCTTGATGGGCAACAAAATGCCCTTTATGTAGTGCTTCTGACCCACATAATTAGCCTTTCTTCATAGACTGGGTTTGCCAAGTTTATACAGACATCAAGGAGGCTTACAAAGCCTCATCTAAAAATTATAGTGTTTTAAAATATGATGGTCAGAGGTAGAATTCAGTGTCATAAGAGTTTCGCTCATTCCTCAACGAGCAAAATTATTATGAGGTAGGTAAAGTACCAGAATTCAGGGTGGGGGCAAGACATTCAGGGCAAAAGATGTCTGTAATTAGTTTGATAAGTGGAGGTAAATATGGCACAGTAGAGCAGAAGCAGATGGAAAATGGCAAAAGCATGCTCAGAAGAACTGATGGCAAAAGGCTAGAGATGTAAGTACTGCCACAGTTTTTGTTGTTGTTAAACACATTAATTCTCACTGGGATGGAATATTAAAACCAGTGGACCAGTATTTAATTTCATGCTCATATTCATGCAAACATCATGAACTTCAGAGGAATTGTACGTGCATGGCAGCAGTAAATTAATTAAAACCTGGAGTTCAAAGAGGATATACTGTCTCATGGAATGATTAATGGGTTCATTTTTAATTTTGAGTTCATAAATAGCTGCGTTTCATGAAATGCTGCAATATGCATGTTGTGCATCTGGGTTTTTTTTAACCTGCTGAAATGGAGCTGATGCAATCACACTGTCTCTGTCATTCTTCCTTCTGGTGGCTTTGAACTTAGTGACACATTCCAGTGACATTTGGCAGAGAGGTAGAAGTCCTGAGGAAGTTTAGTCATTTTGTGAATGTAGAAAGCTGGGCTGGGGGGAGGAGAGAGAAAATCGTAGTGAAGTTGAGCCTGGGAAGAAGGGAGGGTGGGGGAAAGATGTTTTAAGATGTGGTTTTATTTCTCACTACTCTACTCTGCTTTGGTTGGTAATAAATTAAGCTCATTTCTCCACATCTGTTCTACCCATGACCGTAATCAATGAGTGATCTCTCCCTGTCCTTTTTTCCACCCATGAACCTTCTGTTACATTTTCTCTCCCCTGCCCAGCTGAGGAGGGGAGTGATAGAGCAGCTTTGGTGGTCACCTGTCATCCAGCCAGGGTCAACCCACCACACCAAGAAAGCCATAGAACATCTGCCTCTTTGACCTTTACTTGAGAGGTGTAAAAATGGGAGAGAGCCCAGAAGGATGCAAAGCATTTAAGTACTTCTTCATCAGAGCAGATAAATACCAAGGCCAGGCTGGACAGGGCTCTAAGCAGTTTGATCTAGTGGAAGGTGTCCCAGCCCATGGTGAGGGGTTTGGAACTAGATGATATTTATGGTTCCTTCCAGCCCAAACCATTCTATGATCCTGTGATCAATACTGTGAGGAGTGGTCTCTGACTTTCTGACAATTGAGCAGCCCTGTGAGTTCAGGCACCAAAAGGCAATGCAAGTGCTGTTTGCTTTCAGGTGGGTTTTACCCTGGTGCTGTCTGGCACTGTGGCTGTGCAGAGCAGGCACTTGGCAAGGATGTAAAAGCAGGGAGAGTACTCAAGTTGTACACAGTTCTCAGTGAGGCTGCACAGGAGGAAATGAAGGTTTTGTGGTGAAAGGTCAGTGTTGTGATGTTACAAAGTGCTTAAGGAAAATAAGGGAGATTAAAAGGTTTTATCAGTTGGTCTTTGAATATGTACACGATATGGGTAGACTAGAAAAAAAGGAAAAATTAATAGTGCTGAGACTTGCTGTCTTAGACTAGGGCAGATGTTTACTTCTTAGACACTCAACTGATCTTAATATACATGTCAGATGCAGAAGCAGTGCTGCTTCTCATACCAGTGACTGCTGATTTCCCTGTCCTCCTCCCAGCCTTACCCTGGGATTCAGCAGAACAGCTGCTGACCACCTTTTGCATGTCAGCCTGTCCCTGAATTGCCTGGCTGTCCTACATGCACAGGAATGCAGAAAACTAAAAATTCCTGGATTAAGATTAATGTCTAATTATCTCAAAAGTCAAATACAATTAATTGTCAAAAGAGAGACTGGCATGTTCTGTATCCAGCATTGAAGGCACAGACAGCAAGAACTAACCCAACTTTTAGTTGATCTCTGTCCCATTTTAAGAGGAGGTGCAAGTAAACCAGCTGTTCTTTACGGAGCAGTTGGACAAACACTGTGCTGGGAAGGTGCCAGAGAAGAATCAGCCATGGTGTGGCTGCTGTTCTCTTTGCCTCAAAGCAGGACTGGTCAGGCTTGCAGTCCCCAAGTGCACAGGGTGCAGTGAGCACAGGTGGTTGTGCTGTGTCACCAGCTCTGGGGTCCCATCCTCCTCCTGTTCTCAGCACAGAGCCTCACCTCAGTATGGCACGGCCATACCTCACATCCTGTGTCCAGCACTGGGTCCCTCACTTCAGGAGACATTGAGGTGCTGGAATGTGTCCAGAGAAGGACAACGGAGCTGGTGAAGGGTCTAGAGAGTAAGTCATGAGGAGAGGCTGAGGGAGCTGGGGATGTTTAGCCTGGAGAAAAGGAGGTTCAGGGGATACCTTACTGCCCTTTACAACTACCTGAAAGGAGGTTGTAGCTAGGTGGGGGTTGGTCTCTTCTCCCAGGCAACTAGTGACAGGAGTAATAGCCTCAAGCTGTGTCAGGCAAGGTTCAGATTGGACATCAGGAGGAATTTCTTCACTGAAAGGGTTGTTATACATTGGAATGGGCTGCTCAGGGAGGTGGTGGAGTCACCATCCCTGGAGGTGTTCAAGAACTGACTGGATGAGGCACTTAGTGAGATGGTCTAGTTGACAAGGTGCTGATCAGTCAAAGAATTCGATGATCCTGGAGGTGTGTGTCGTTGGCCACAGTCATCAGCAAAGCTTCTTATACAGGGCTGCAGAGAAGGCAAGTAGGGACTCAGAAAATAGTTGTGCGGGGAATTGTTCTTGTTTGTTTGAACTGACTTTTGAGATAAACCAGATGAAGAGGATGACTCTGATCTTGGAAGTGAAGAGCTTGGTGTTTAATGTTTGGCAGGATTTACTAGAACATGCCAGTGGAAAAGAGAAATGAGCTCAGTGCTGTGTTAGGGAGTCACTGAATACCATGACTGCCTCCCATACAGTACATGTGGACACTGGTGTGGTGTTCTGCCTATATGAGACAACTGTACCTTGAAGCCTTTTGGGGAGGGAAAAGGAAGGAGGGCTTCACTTGCTGCTTTTTAATCAGAAGTCTCTGCTTCCCAGCAGTTGTTCTGAAAGTAATTGATTAGTGGAAGAAATATACTTACAGGAAAATACTGGGAGAATTTAGATTATTTATCATAAGCTTCAACATTATTCAACTTGCTTTGTTTTGCTTTCTGTGGTAGGCACAATACTGGCTATATTGAAATAGGTTTTTTTTCCTCTGTAATGTGCTTCTGATGTGGGTAGGTTGGTAATGATGCAACTAGATGTTAATTGTGCAAAAATTAGACACTGTGCCTTGAAAGGCAGTACCTGATTTGTAGAAGAAACAGTGGAAACCAAGCTTCCAGAAGTAAAATTGCTGTTGGGTATTATAAATAGCACCATAATGTAAGCAGGTGGTGAATGAAAATGGTTTGATTCCTCACAGCTGGCAGGTACTTTATTTTCGGACATCGAGTCCACATCACCTTCGGGTGCTTCACTTGTCAAGAGTATTTGTTACCATCTACTGGTTGGTCTGGTCATTTGCAACACTTGTGGGAGCTGAGCATAAAAACTGTCAGCAAACTTTGGCTGTGGTAGAAAATCAGGGTCATGCTTTTGCTTCCTGAGTGAGACATTGAGACTGTGGTTTGACGTCTTGGTTGGCCTTGTTGTAGGTTTTCTAGTACCCAACCCAACAGGTCAAAAAGGTGAGTGCTGGATAATGCAGGGTTTGGAATAAACTCAATTTGGTGGCTTGGTAAATATATTTTATTGGGTTAACTTTGTGCTGACGGGATTTATAGTGGGTCAGACTTGTATGTCATAAGTTCCTGTGACTTCCTGCTGGTTCAGACATCACTGGTCTTTCTGCATCTGGTATAAACATGGCACGTGCTCAGAGTTGAGTGCTCTGGCTAGTTTGATGGAATCAAGATTCTACACCAAAGCTCTTTCCAGACCAAGTTTGTACTGCCACATAAACTAAGGCTTTTTCATTATTTGTCTTTTTTCCCCACACTAGCTGGTATATTTGATCATGAAGCTGCAGCTTGACAAAATGAAAAGTTATTAAACCTGCTCCAGCATGGGCTTTGGGTGTGGGAATCGCTAATTTCCATTTCCATGCCTTAGTGCTTGCCAGACTGATGCTATGTTTGACCAGCCCTGTACTTTTCATCCTGAAATGTACTGCAGGATGAAGAGCCTGCTCTCCAGATGGACTGCTGTGCTCCTCTAGTGGAAGCAAGGGTGTACCAAGGTCTCTGTAGCCCACGGCAGCCGTAGCTCAGTGCGTGTTTGGGAGCAGTGTGTACAGAGTGGTGGCTCTGAGAGCAGGCCAGGAAGGCACTGGATCCTTACACAGCTCCAGAGGCTTGTCATGACTTCCATCAGGCGTTGGGGGCTGAGTCTGCTGTTGCAGGTCAGGGACAGCACCCCTGAAGGTACAGCAATCGCTGGGCAACGTTTCCCCATCGGGGCTCACCTCCCAGTCCGTGCAGGGCTCTGTGTTCCTCCCAGCATTAAGTCCAATTATGTCATCTTTGTTTGAAGAGAGGTGTGAGATTTGCCTTCAGCAAACAGTAATCTTCTTGGTGGGCTGTAAATTGTAAATAATGATTCCTTTCTATTTTTGGAAGTGATTTGCGCCGTCACCGGTTCATTGTGTGAAGACCGTGCATGAGGCAGGCTCGGAGAGCAGAGTGTTTCCTGGGGTGGGTGGTTCTTGATGAAGTTGCATGGACTGTTTCAGGGCTCTTGCCTTGTCCTTCCTTCACTCTCCATTTGACTCTTTGTTGGTTTTTTTTCTCTTTCAGGACAGTTATTCTGAGTGACGGCCCTTGCACACGCTTCTGAGTGGTTATCATGGGCTTCATTGCCTTTCTGAAGACCCAGTTCATAGTTCACCTCCTCATTGGGTTCGTCTTTGTTGTGAGTGGACTGATCATTAACTTCATTCAACTATGCACACTAGTCCTCTGGCCCATAAACAAGCAGTTGTATCGCCGAGTAAACTGTCGCCTTGCCTATTCACTTTGGAGCCGTGAGTATGCCTGAAGGGGCTCTGAGGGATGGGGTGGGGAGGGGACTGGGGCTTTTTCCTGCCTTTGTTAAAGAAACAATGTCCATGTAAATGTATACACACAGAGAAACAAAAAAAAAAAGAAAGTTAAGTGAGGTGTTCAACTCTTTCAGAGCAGTTCAAAACAGACATTTTGTCTCAAATGCTGGGAAAACAAAGAAATTAAGGGATGGATATATGTCGCTCTGTCATTCAAAAAAATAAGCTCCTTCCTGTCCCCAGCCCTATCTTGACTGATCGGAATTGCTGATTCTGTCTCAGTGCCATCTTCATCCAGCATCAGAGCCTGTGCCAAGTGATGGGAAGGGAGAGTTCTGAGACTGGTTCAGGTATCGAGCGTGTGTGTGATATTGACCACTTAGGAGCCCAAGTCGATTGTGTGGTCTGCAGAGGGAGAGGTCTGTCTTAAAGTATCTAGTGTAGGTGTCTCTGTAGCTGAACTGTGTGACAACTTGAGAGTCCTCTTACACCTACAGTATCCATCTCTGATGCCAGTGTCTCCTCTGGTGAGCAATTTGTCACTCTTTTTTCTTCTGCCCCTGGGTCACCTCTACAGTGAGTGCAGCAGGTTTTCTCTCCTCTTTCAGACTTTTGCAAAACTTTCTCCTCATGGATGCCTTTTTTTTTCACCTTATACAGCTTAACAGGGGGTTAGGTTTCTGAAATAAGTGTTTAGAAGGCTCCTTAGCCCAAATGTCATCTCGTGTTTCAGCAGTGAATCATCTAATCGGTTTCCATTCTCCATCCCCTCCCAGTATGCATGGCCACTTACCTTAGTGCTCAGCTCAGCATCCAACTCCCACTTTGGGTAAATGAGTCACCAAAATGTGTGCTGAAATTACAGTTGAGCAGTCCACGGACAGGCACCCACATTTCATAATTCATCCATTTGTAGTACTACCAACAAAAAGTCTCCAGAGTTCCTAGTTCGAATTCTTTTTCTCCTTGTCCTTCATGTGCTTTCTGTCCTGCCCATTGAGAATGTTGCCTGAGAAGCACAGCAGAAAGCAAATTAAATAGAGTGGCAGGCAAACTGTCAGGAGAAAAGATATTGTAATAGAAGAGCTTAGTAGAAACTTCAAAATGAGTTTGGTTGGAGGAGAGTGGGGTTATATGGGAGTTTTTATTTTGCTTCTAAGAATTTCTTAATGTGCTTTTAATAATCTAGAATCTGATCTCATGCTGAAAACTATTGTTGCACTAATAATCTGGCTTTTCTGAGAATATGAGCTGCTTGTTCCTGTAAGACCTGTTAGGCTCAGACCCTCATTAGCATTGTGCATGAAAAAAAGCACATTTTAAATGCTGCTATCTTCTGTCTTCTAAACACTGAAAATAGCCCACACTATTTTCAGAGAGGTTTGAAGAAGCTGAGTAGATAATTGTGTTGTACCTAGGATAACCCCTAGTGTATAGCCTGTTCTAAATTAACTCATTGAGAAATTAAACTGTGAAAATTAATGTAAATGTTATAGGGGATTGCAGAGTGCTGATGGCCTGTTAATGGAAGAGCTGACAATATGCACTTCACTTGTGATTTATAACAAATTAAGTAAACCGTGTAAATGCAAAGCCCAAATGTTGTCATTCATCATGAAATACATTTCATTATGGGGAAGCCTTTTGGCAATGAATCTCTAGGTTGGTCTTCTGTTCTGGATGGTACATTTTGCTCACTTACTCCAAGCTGTATAGTTTTAGGCTGAGGGTGTTCACATCAGAGCTGTCTGTAAGAGAAGCTTCTCTGCCCACCTGGCAGAGGATCATCTTCTCCCAAATACATCAAGCAGAGCTTCCAGAGGGAAGGGAGGGAGATTCTATCCAGAGTTCATGGCAGACATTTGAGGAAGAAGTCTGTCAGGCTCTGGCCTCAACATAAACCCTTTGCAGCACATGGAATTTGTGAGAGGTAGTCTGTACTTCCAGCTCTCCCACACCAGCTCTTTTCAGATGACTCATGCCTTTGGAGAGTGCAGCGTGGTTAGTTTAGTCCAGTGGCAAAAATAAATAATCTCTCAAATATTGGTGCTTTAAACGGAGGGATGTGCTGTGCCTCTTGTTTACTTTGTTCAGGTGGCTTGTGAGGCAGGAAACCCACCACTTTGGCATGTGGGAACCTCAGCCACAAGGGTTGGTTGTAGGAAGGTGTAAAAGGCGATAGGACGAGGAGTAATGGGTATATATTGAAAGAGGGGAAATTCAGATTAGCTATTAGGAAGACATTTTTTACTATGAAGGTGTTAAGACACTGGCACAGGTTGCCCAGGGAGGCTGTGGCTGCCCCAGCCCTGGCAGTGTTCAAGGCCAGGTTGGATAAGAACTTGAGCAACCTGATCAAGTGGGAGCTGTCCCTGCCCATGGCAGGGGGTTGGGATTAGATGATCTTTAAGGTCCATTCCAGTCCCTTAACATTCTGTGATTCTATGTGTAGCTTGTCCGCTAACATTCTGTGATTCTATGTGTAGCTTGTCCGCTAACATTCTGTGATTCTATGTGTAGCTTGTCCGCTAACATTCTGTGATTCTATGTGTAGCTTGTCCGCTAACATTCTGTGATTCTATGTGTAGCTTGTCCGCTAACATTCTGTGATTCTATGTGTAGCTTGTCCGCTAACATTCTGTGATTCTATGTGTAGCTTGTCCGCTAACATTCTGTGATTCTATGTGTAGCTTGTCCGCTAACATTCTGTGATTCTATGTGTAGCTTGTCCGCTAACATTCTGTGATTCTATGTGTAGCTTGTCCGCTAACATTCTGTGATTCTATGTGTAGCTTGTCCGCTAACATTCTGTGATTCTATGTGTAGCTTGTCCGCTAACATTCTGTGATTCTATGTGTAGCTTGTCCGCTAACATTCTGTGATTCTATGTGTAGCTTGTCCGCTAACATTCTGTGATTCTATGTGTAGCTTGTCCGCTAACATTCTGTGATTCTATGTGTAGCTTGTCCGCTAACATTCTGTGATTCTATGTGTAGCTTGTCCGCTAACATTCTGTGATTCTATGTGTAGCTTGTCCGCTAACATTCTGTGATTCTATGTGTAGCTTGTCCGCTAACATTCTGTGATTCTATGTGTAGCTTGTCCGCTAACATTCTGTGATTCTATGTGTAGCTTGTCCGCTAACATTCTGTGATTCTATGTGTAGCTTGTCCGCTAACATTCTGTGATTCTATGTGTAGCTTGTCCCCTTAGGATATATGTTGGGTGGTGCAAGTGTTCCTATCCCTGTGTTCAGAAGGATGGGCTTGCTGTAGCATCAGCAGGATCAGTGCCACACAACATAGCTGTTACCCACACACAAAAAAGGGAAACGAGCCCACTCCTGGTTATAATTACATCACTTATCAGTACACTTGTAAAGGACAATCTGTTTCCTTGTATTAATTCTCTGGCTCGTCAACCCTCCTCTCTCAGTATGAACTCTGGCAGATTGCTCGGCAAAGCTTCCTCCACTGTTTTAGAGTGAATGGTAGAAGAAATGTTCTGCAGGGAACCATCCACACCTGCCTCTGTAGGATTTTTTTCTGATTTTGAAGAAACTACAGGCAGCAGTTGTAGCAGGTACTGGAGATGTTCCTCCTAAGTACATAGACAGCAATGGAAAGGATAAGGTGCTCAGAGTTCCACACTCTGTCTGGTACCACTACTCCGTTCTCATGCCCACCTGCTTGGAAGAGCATAGCTCTCAACTGAGGACACTTGCTGTCCTCTTTCCTCTTTTACTGAGCCAGGATAATCAGAGAAAGGAATGTAAGTGATCACAAAGGAGACAGAGGTGGGAAGCAACGATAGAAACTGATAGTTGGTATAAACCAGCAAGACAGTTCTGCCTTTGCTGTATTTCCAGTTGACCAGGGTTATGCACTCTTCATCAGCAAGTTGCTTAACTTTGACATGCCTACAAATGAGCAGGTGTTGAACGTGATACAAGGGAATAACCTGGTGGATGAATAAGTGGTCATGGGTGAAAAAACTAGTGCTAGAGAAGCTATGTATCTTGAGCAGATCAGGATTGGTTTTCCCCAACATTCACCTAAATACTGTGTTTGCCTTCTCTCTAATATGGCACAAAATTGGATCCACTCTTGTTTAGCATTATGGATAGATGACCTTGTTTGATCCCATTAATCAGAAGCCCTTGTGCAGGAAGGTACTGCCCTGTTTGCTAAAACCAGTGCCTCCCAGTGGGAAATTGAGTTACCTCCTGGCAGAACCTGATGGAAGGAACTGAGGGGACAACTTCCAGTTGTGTCCCTGCATGTTTGTTGTAGTAGCTTCGGAAGAGTTGGACTTCTTAACTGCTGTATTTATGCAACCAGATTTTGGTTGCATCCATATCTCATTGAAAGGAGAAAATACCAGTGACTACAGTTTGCATGGAAGCGAATCTTTCTTCTGGGAGGATGAACTATTCTCATACTTTTTATAGTCATCCCATGATACAAGCAATGCCTTCCATCTGCCTCGATGTACTACTGCAATGAGAGATATAAGCTAACCATAGCAACTACAGTCACTGCATGCCGAATTTAAGTGGAAGGGTTTCTTAAGATGAAAAGAGAGGAGGTGGAAAATAAGAGTGGGTAAGGAAGGAAATGTTCAGGGTGGAGTAAGAGATGATGTGATATTGAAAAGCTGGAAAAAATGGAGGCTAAAGGGCTCATTCTTTTGCAGTAAGACACAATTTGCCATTCCTGTCTTTGCCCAGGTATTTTGATAAATTAGCTCAATCCTCTGCTATTCCTGACTCTCTGTTGATGATTGTAATACAGAACCATTAGAGCCCTGTGTTCTAATATTAAAATCTATTGCAGAAGATTTATGGCACTGTGTCCCTTTGAAAAACCTTTATTGGTCTGTTTACCTCCATAAAGCTTGTTTCATGTTGAGTAAAAGCATTAGGCTGCATCTATGCATAATTTGTTTTCCACCTGGGAGAAACTGTGCCCATTTAGTGGAGCAATCAACAGCTCAACTGTCTGTTGTCAGGCACAAACCTTGGGGTTTCTTTCCCAGTGATCATGAAATTTCACATTCAGAATACAATGCCCAAACTTGTCTCTGCTAAAAACTTGCTAAATTATCCATAATGCATATGTCTAGTGCCTTAAATACTGCTTAAGGATGGTGATGTGATTTGGTCTGTACCCATCCAAGCTTTCATTTCATCTCTCCTGGCTTGGTTTGAGAAGGTGATGGTGTTGGGAGGCAGAAGAGGTTGGGCACTGAATGGGGCTGGAGTACTGCACACAGTTCTGGTGTCCCCAACGTAAGAAGGACATGGAATTGTTGGGGCAAGTACAGAGTAGGCCACAAAGCTGATGTAAGAACTGGAGTACCTTCTCTATGAAGACAGGCTGAGGTAGTTAGGGCTGTTCAGCCTGGAGAAGATTGCGTGGAGACATCAGAGCACCTTCCAGCATCTGAAGGGGCTCCAGGGAAGCTGCAGAGGGACTCTGTGCTATGAACTGCAGTGATAGTACAAAGAGTAATGGGTATAAATTGAAGAGGAGAAATTTAGATTAGATATTAGGAAGAAGGTATTTTTTCCTGTGAGGGTGGTGAGACACTGGCCCAGGTTGCCCAGGGAGGCTGTGGCTGCCCCAACCCTGGCAGTGTTCACAGCCAGGTTGGACAAAGCCTTGAGCAACCTGCTCTGGTGGGAGGTGTCAACCATGACAAGGGTTGGGACTAGATAATCTCTGAGGCCTATTTCAACCCCTTAACATACTATGATACTATGAAGCACTAAATGCTTTCTGTAAGCAGCTCCCCTAACTCCTCTCTCTATTTTCCTTCTGTTTGTTAGAGTTGGTAATGCTGCTGGAATGGTGGTCAGGCACAGAGTGCACCTTGTTCTCAGACGAGGCCACGGTGAACACCTTTGGCAAAGAACATGTCATCATCATCTTGAATCACAACTTTGAAATCGACTTCCTGTGCGGCTGGACTATGACAGAGCGCTTCGGAGTGCTAGGGGTACGTGGGCCATGGGCTTTCCCTTCATCTGGTCTCATCTTGAAAACATTCACCATCCATGAAGGTTTTCAAGCTGGGACTGGATGTGGCACTTAGTGCCATGGTCTAGTGACCACAGTAGGGTTGGACTCGATGATCTTTGAGGTCTCTACCAACCTGGTTGGTTCTGTGATTCTGTGATCTGCAGGATGTTTAAAACCCATACATGTAGCTTCTTGCATTCAAGTTTCCAGATATAACTCCATCAGCTCTTCATCATAAGGATGGACTCAATCTCAGAGGTCTTTTCCAACCTTGATGATTCTGTGATCATCTTAACTTTAATGTATTTGATCTCATTGTACAAATCAGTAAATGGCATTTTTGGATTGTCATTTTTGGTTGGTTTTTTTCCCTCCCAGAGTTCCAAAGTCCTTGCTAAGAGAGAGCTGCTATATGTGCCCCTAATTGGTTGGACGTGGTACTTCCTTGAGATTGTTTTCTGCAAAAGGAAATGGGAAGAAGACAGAGATACAGTTATTGAAGGATTGAAACGTTTGTCTGATTACCCTGAGTACATGTGGGTAAGTGCTGAGTTCCTCCTCTAGTATCAGCTGCTAGAAGTGGAATGATGGCAGGTGGTGCTGTAGTTTTATGTGGCAGGAGAAGGTCTGCTCATTTCCAAGTGTTGTGAAGGAAAGCCATGCTCTGTTTCAGGAGGTCTTTTGGGTTATGCTGGTAAAAAGTTGCTCTGTTTGCCTGTTGGTAAGGGAAGTCATGTGGGAAACAGTTCAGAAGCCTGACAATAATTTATAAATCAGGCTCGTGTAATACTTGTTGGTTTTGTCTGAACTTATTTTTACCTTTAAAAAAACCCACCCATATTTGGATGCTAAATCTATATAAGAGAGAGGCTGAAAAGACACATACAAATAAGTGGTTTTTTTTGGAGAAGAGAGTGAATTTGGATACACAGACCATGGATTTTGATAGGAAGTTCCTGTTAGTGTGTTCATTGATCTGTGAAATTACAGGTTTCTCAAAAAGTCTCTATGAGAACATGTGGAAAGCTTTTATCTGCTTTGGCAGTTATATTTTTCCTTTTCATTTTGACATTATTTGAAGCCAAGGGTAAAACATCTCTCTTTCATCATCTGCAATGTTGTTAGATTTTACTGCAGCAGCACAGTGGTATAATCAACCTATTAACCTTAGAGCTTTGAATGCAAATGTTTTGATAAATTTACAGTTTTGTTTTTATAGCAGCACATGTAATGTAAAATTTTCTGGCTTATAAAGCATTTTAAGAGGCTTTTTGTGCATTTTTAAGTGAGTTTTCAATATTATCCAGTACAGCTTGTTAAAATGAATAGTGAAACATTAAGCCTTAACTAGAACATTGTGAGTGTGTTGTGATTTTCTGTCATTACAAAGATAGCAAAAGAACCTGGAGAATATATTATTTTAAGCTCCTTAATTGCTTGAATATATGGATATGAACTGTACTTAATATATCCTCCTGATTAGTGTTGGATAAAAAGAAAAAACAGGGAAAAAAGCCCTACCAATTAGAAAACCTTGAGGCTGAATTTTAGCTGCAAATCTATACATTTTAATGATTCTACAACTGAGAACCAAGGACTAGTCTCTAGGGAAGACAACTCTAAGTGCAAAACATGGTTAGCATTGATTATTTAAATCAAGACTTCCTGCTTGGTAATTTAAATCATGATTAAAATTGACTCGAGTGAATCAATTTCCTAACTTTGATGCATTCTAAATGCCACAATTAGGGCTGTCTTTCTGTGGCCTTAAATTTGGTGTGAGTGTCCTTAAAGATGGTTGTGAGGTGGTGCTGATGCCTAATACTCAATGAACAGCTGAGAGGGTTGAAGTGTGTGCACGTGCATGGATGTATGTTTATCTTGCACAGATCTTCAGTATTCTGCTTGGTTTCTCTCCATCTCAAGGTGTCTTTGTTTCTTGCCCTTTGTCTCCTTGTACTAGTTTCTCCTGTACTGTGAAGGAACTCGTTTTACAGAGACCAAGCACCGTATCAGTATGAAGGTAGCTGAATCCAAGGGGTTGCCTAAACTGAAATACCACCTGTTGCCCAGAACCAAAGGTTTCACCACTGCTGTCCAGTGTCTCAGGGGAACAGGTACTAACAAACTGCTCCTGGTTCTTTGTGTCACTTGGAACGTGTTGTGTACTACACTCTGTGTGGCACAGCACAGTATCCTCTGCTGCTCGTTATGTCCATGACAATTAGTAAGCTGGCAGTAATAAGCCTTCAGCATGTCAGCTGTTAGTGTGTAAATTACCACAGAACTGTCAGATACCAAAAAAATAATGAACTTTTCACGTGTGTCTTTGTTGCTTAATTCATTAAGTCATGGTATTTTGGTAACACTTGTGCCACAGAGCTGGGACTGTCAGGTGGCTGATACAGATAAATACCACGTGTAAACACAGAGACTCTGCTACCTGACATTATTCATGCAAGGCTTGCACAAGGCTCTCTTGCTGTCTCGTGCCAGGATGCCAGCAATGTGGTTGTTAGAATTGCTGCTGTAACAGCCATGTTTTCCTTTTTTTTCCCCCAACAGTTTCAGCAGTGTATGATGTAACACTAAATTTCAGAGGAAACAAGAACCCATCTTTATTAGGAATTCTTTATGGAAAGAAATATGAAGCAGATATGTGTGTAAGGTGAGCATATAATGATGGAGGTGAGCCCTATCACACATGCTTTGGCTTGTTGAAGTGAATTCAGATTTTACAGGGCAATTTCCTTTCCTGTAGTCCCCTTTTCCTTGTCCTTCAAGCTTCTCTGCAGGCCACAAAGACCTCCCTGTTGCCCCTCTGCTTCAGTTCACTTTCATGTGAGATCCCATGGTATCATCCAGCAAGTCAGAGAGCACTGGACAGGCTTCTTAAGCCTAGAACCACATTGGTTCCAGGGTTTCCCTGTTTTGTGCAGTTGAGGACACTTGTCTGCCTTTTCCCCTTCTCTGCTGGGAACAGAAAACCAGCTGTTGTGCACCCTTCCTGCTTCCCTCTGAGCATATGCATAGCAGAAATAGCCTGTCCAGCTTCAGTGGTCCCTTGTAGTAAGAAGTGTAAAGCTCCTTACTGTGCCAGTTTCTCTAGCTCACTCACATGCTTCAATTAGCAGATTAGAAGTTAAACAATGCTGAAATTCAGACATCCTATGAATGAGGTGGGACATTTCTCACATTCCTCATTACTCTTTTGCCTGCAAGAGTAGCTGCAACCACCTGACTCCATGGAATTTCTTCTTTTCTCTTTTGTTTGGATCCACCAAACCACCTGGTTGTTCTTTCCACAGTTCATCTGACAGTTTACTTCTGCTTCTCTGGGGGCTTCACCCACACTTTGGAAAACATTGCTGATTTTCTGGTTGATGCTTGGGTTTTAAAAAGAAAAAAAAGAAAAATTTTAGTTGCTCCCCCTCCCCCTCCC